AAAAAAAAAAAAAAAAAAAAAAAAAAAAGTGCTGTGATGACATGAAAACCATTTTAGCAGGCCCTGGGCCAACCCTTGCACTAAGCACCAGCTATAAGGCACTGATAGTGTGGGATTTGAGAAAAGAACCCCACCCCTGCTGCCTTCATGACATATATTTTAGGGAAAAGGAACAAGTTCTGGTCAAAAAAAGTTCAGTGGTAATTAGTGCCAGTACTTTTGTAATGTTTTTCCATGTATTTACTCACTCTTTTCAAGCCACCAACCTGCTAAAGGCACTATTACTTCTCCCCATTTATAAAAGGAGCTGCTGAGACACAAAGAAGTTAAGTAACTTTCCACAGGGCCCACAGTTTAATGAGGATTAGAGTGGGCTTTGAGCCTAGGTACCCCAGCTCCAAAGTCCTCGTTTAGCCGTGCAACAGTGGAATAGCTGTTGGGAGTGTGAGATACTTGAAGTTTATCAGCGGTAGCAGCCCGTTTTCTTATATGTGAAGGGCGCCCACCTTGGACTGAGAACCAGGTTTGTCTCTGCTCAGTTGGTACCATCTGGTATTGATGTCTACAGATGCAGCGGACCCAGAAGAAGAAAATGAAGAAGAGAGTGAAAGTCGAACTTCGCAAACTGAACACCATGACTGAAGCTGAGGCCGGAGATATCCAGGATGTCTGGCAGCTGGACATGAATTCTCGATGGCAGCTTTATAGGTACATTGCCCACCTCCGGCCAACTCATGTCATCTCCTCCGGCTACTCCTTCCCTCTTCTCAGGACTCTCCCTTCGACAGTGTTGACGAGTGAGGGTTGCAGCCATGAGGTAGAATAGATACTTGCTCTACCTTCATGGCAGTTGGCGTCTACCTAGGAAGACAATTTTCATATAATTACAAAGAGAAAATATTACAAGTGGCCAGGCATGATGGCATATGCCTGTAATCCTAGCACTCAGGTGGCTGAAGGCTGAATCAGTAGACTCTCAACTTCAAGAACACCCTGGACTACAAAATGAGACCATCTCAAAAAAACCCAAAAAACTAATTATATATACGGTGTGTGTGTGTAGCATAAACACTAAGAAAACAACAGCACTAAAAGTACTAAAAATATTATATTGGGTCCAGGGCTGTAGCTCAGTGGTGCCACATCTGCCTAGCGAGTGCAGGGTCCTGAGTTTGATCCCTGTACTGGAATGAATGAATGAATGACAGAATGACATGTGATCTGAGCTGGTCTAAGGTATCCAAGAAAGTGACCGTGGAGGTGAGCTCTGAAGATGAGCAGGTATAATGAAGGTCAGTGCCAAAGGGGAGCAGGAGCTTTAGTGGCCACATGTGAAAACTCCCTGAGGTAGGAGGGAACATGGCTGTTGGAACAGTGGAAGCTCGTAGCCAGCACTGCTGCGGTACAAAGAGAGGGCCAGGGAAGTCAGCAGGGTGGGCAGGGCCTCATACAGCTCATGTAAGGAGTGTGGATTTTATCAGAAGGTAGCAGAAAGCCATTTGGAAGTTTTATAGCAAAGTAGTGATGTCATTTGTTTTTGCTATAAAACAAGTACCCTGTGAAGAATTAGGTAAGGGGCCAGGAATAAGGTAGAGAGAATTTATGAAAAATTCTTCTAAACCCTTTGACATGTCCTGTATTCTCTTTGTTCTTTATCTGGCTTCCTTCCTTATCTCCTAACCATCCTGCGCATCTTTGTTTTTGGACTCAGGTTCTGTACATCTGGAGCACTCACACTTGCTTACCCCCCATCCCTCACCTATAAACTCCACAAGGGCCTAGGGTTCACCTCACACACTTGCACACTGAAGGGAGTTCCCCCACCTTCTCAAAGAGCACATGTCTTTTTTTCATGGTTCTTCCATTCTCCAGGCTGTGGCTGCAGATGTATCAGGCTGACACTCGCCGGAAGATCCTCAGCTATGAACGCCAATACCGCACATCAGCAGAGAGAATGGCTGAGCTGAGACTCCAGGAAGACCTGCACATCCTTAAAGATGCCCAGGTCATAGGAATGACTACCACGGGTAAGAAAGTATGTGTATTGTTCCCTAAATTTTGTCAGATTATTTAGGACTGGTAAAGAGAGTTTCTTCAGCAGGCTAGAGGAAACATACCACAAAGAACTGTTGGAAGAAGCCCATATTTTGGGAAGTCGGTGAAATTTTGCCACTTGCTGCTCCTGAATTTGAAACTCCAGCAGTGACCAACATGGAGAGACTGCCCAGCACTCATTCTCTCGTTCAGTGGTCACCACAGCTCTGAATAGGCATGAGGGTTTAGTTGAACCAACTCAGATTCAAGGAACGTGAAAAAGGAGATTCCTAGTGTCCCAGTGGCTCTGTGGATCCTACACCTATGCTCAGAGGAACCTTTCTCATCTTTCCTGACTAGGTGCTGCTAAATACCGCCAGATCCTGCAGAAGGTAGAGCCTCGGATTGTCATCGTAGAAGAGGCTGCCGAAGTCCTTGAGGCTCATACCATTGCTACATTGAGCAAAGCTTGCCAGCATCTCATTCTGATTGGTGACCATCAGCAGGTAAAACAAGAGCCCTGGAAGATGGGCTTGCTCTTGTCAGGGTGGGAGGGTTAGGGGGTCAGACAGGAAGACCCTGGCCTGTTTGAGTGGTACTAAAGCTTTCGTGATTCCTCATTTCCCACAATCAATTTTATCTTTTTCATGTGCTGAGGATGGAGCCTAGGGCCCTCACACAGGATAAGCAGCTGCTTGGCCCCTAAGCAACATCCCCAGCCCCCATATTCAGTTTAAGAACAGATGCTACAGCTGGGGATTTATGCTCAGTGGTTCTGCCACCTGCCTTGGAAGCACAAGGTCCTGATTTTGATCCCTGGTACAAAATAAAAAAGTACAGTGCAAGAACAGATGCTACAACTTGTTTGATATAGTTTAGAGATAGCATCATTCACTCCATCCATTTTCTCTGCTACTCTTTTCTTGGAGATTTGGTTGTTTGTTTGCTCATTTTGGGTTTTATGTCGTACTGAGTGTTGAACCTAGGGAACATCCATCTACATCCCAGCCCTTTTTATTTTAAGATAGTATCTTCCTATGCCCAGGCTAGATTGAAACTTGTAATGCTTCTGTCTCAATCTCTGAGTAGCTGGAATTACAGATGTGAGCCACCAAGCCTGGCTACCATAATCATTTTTTTTTCCTCACATTTTTTAAAAACCAGTTACATGTTTGTAGAACAGAACGTTTACATTCCTTGTGGAGAGTTGGTAGATGTACGTAATACATCTTAATTCTCTTTTTTTTTTTTGGTTTTTTGAGACAGGGTCTTACTGTGTAGTTGAGACTGACCTGGAACTCACTGTGTAGTGCAGGCTGGTCTCTAATTTACAGCGATCCTCCTGCCTCAGCCTCCCAAGTGCTGGGATTATAGGCGTGCGCTACCACACCCGGAAAATTTAATTGAATATAGTTTGCCTTTTTCTTTGTTTTATTTTTGTTTTGTTTTGTTTGGTTTGGTACTGGGAATCAAATGGAACTTTGCGCTTGTGAGGCAGGCGGCAGAACCAGAGTCAAATCCCCAGCCTTCCATTTATCTCTTTTAAATGAACTATGACAACAGCACATTCCCCAATATTCCTGCTTCCACTTTTACTCCCTGTAAAAATTTGTGAACTGAACCAGCTTAAAAACCTCTAGTGGTTATTCTTAAGTTAAATAAATCAAACACACATGTTTAAATACCACGTTGTTTCTCTGGTGTGAGAAACAAAGTGGAAATAAGGACTGCGATGTATAATGGATATTGGGCAATGGGAAGAAAGTTCAAAAAGGAGGGGAACTGGGGGGAGGGAGGGAGAAAGGAAGGGACAGGGAAAAAAGTGAAAATAGGGCTGGGGATTTAGCTCAGTGATGCCACCGCCTGCCTCGCAAGCAGTGTCCCAAGTTCAATCCCCAGTTCCCCCCCAAAAAAAAGTGAAAATAGGAAAAAATGGAGACTAAGCTTTTGTACAAAGGGAGGGGAAGGGGACATGAGGGGGGAAATGGGATAAAATAAAGTGAAATTTATTAATTAAAGAAACCTCTTGGGGCCAGGGATTTAGCTCAGTGGTTCCACTGCCTGCGCTGCAAGCACAAGGACCCGAGCTCAATCCCTGGTACTAAAAAAAAAAAAAAAAAAAAAAAAAAAAACCCC